TACTAGGTCATATTTTCATCCACCATGATTATAATCATACATTAGGAATTATTTATAAATTATATTCGTATATTATATAGATTTTATATTAAAGTTAATTGTTTCGGGTTTTTATCGGTCTGGGCCGGGTTATAGAATTTAGGGCCCGTTTCTGAGGCCGAATTTTCAGGTTTGGTCCGGGTAATTTTATTCGCGCCGGTTAACTAGAAAAAACCCGGACCGGGAACATTATTCGGGTCGGGCCAGGTTCGGTTTTCGGGTTTCGGTACAGTTTTCCGACCCCTAAATCTGAGTATGTTGTAGCTACAGAAGCTTTCAAAGAAACCATTTAGCTTAGGCGTCTTGTTTCTGAAATTGGGTTTCTTAAATAGGATGTAATTGTGTTCTCGGATAGCCAGTCTGCTATTCAATTTGTAAAAACTCTATTTTTCATTATAGAACCAAACACATAGATGTGAGGATCCATTTTATTCGTGATATTCTAGATGCGGGTAATGTGAAGCTGGCAAGATGCCCTCAGAAAAAAAAACCTTGCAGATATGGGAACGAAGTGTTTATCTGCTCAAAATTTGTTATCTTGTAAAAGGATTTTAAATTTGGACTTCGGTTAACTCGATTTGCAGATTTTGGGTATAGGTAGTGTAGGTTCTTTGAAAGTAGCATTGTGCTTGCAGGAACCTACACTCTTGTTCTCGGAGAGTACTTGGGGTATTTCTCCATTTTTTTAGGGAGTGCTATGTGTATCTCCAATTTTGTCTGCCAATTATGTCTTTAGGATATCACTGGTGACTCAATGATGAAGAACCACTAACTCTTACTACTTTGTAATACTTAGCACCATCAGACCAATAAGGTGGAGAGTGTGGAGGTACTGGCCCATTTAAGACCATGGCAGCCCTCTCCCTTTGAAATATATTTATGTATAGTAATCATAAAATTGATTTACTTTAGTATATTGTGCACAACCTAAAAATGTATCGATTCATTAAATTTTAAGGAAAAATGAAATGTTACAAATTAAATTCTAGAAACGCATATTAAGTCATAACATGCATTTATAACATAAGAAATATATGAAAAGTTGTTTTAAAGTGATATTTGACTAATATTTAACTTATGACCAAATCGATTTGATATTCGTATATGATTCATTAATTATTCGTATTTTTAAACTAATATGAGTACAAATCAAAATTAATATATGTTTCATATTCGAATTCGAATTTGATCCGTATCCAAAAAAGTTAACCAAATACAAATACAAATACAAGCACAAAGTCATACTATTTGATTCAATTCGCTTCGTTTATAGGGCGTGTTTGGCATTCAACAGTTAGCGGATAGCAGGTTATGTTAGCGGGTTGACAATAGCGGATTCAGTCAGCGGGTTTGACTAGCGGAATAAAATTGGTGGGTTGTTAAAAAATATTTGGTAATTTAACTGTTTGGCCATAAAATAAGTAGAAAACACCAATTTTTCAACACGCCAACCCAAAACCATCCTATTAGCAGGATTTTTATTTCAACGTTTTCATCCAAAAGCGCTAGTGACGAACCGCTATTTACCAAACAACGAGCCCGTTTGGAGACCTCTTTTTTCGGCTTATCAGGCTTATCAGCCAGCTTTTTCATCAAACACGTAACTTTTACTTTTGTGTGCTGAATTGTGTAATAAGCAGAAAAAGTAAGGTTGGAGTTACTTTTCTGGCTGTATTGGCTGAAGTTACTGTAGAGGACTATTTTAGCTATTTTTACATGTAATTTTTTCTATTATTTATTAATAAAATATATTTTTAAGATATTTTTTTCTTGAATCAGCAGAATCAGCCAAAACAGCCACTTCAGCCAGAATTTCATAAATTTCAGCAGAATCAGCCAAAACAGCCGATTTTCGTGCTACCAAACGGGCTCAACATTTTCACTTATGATCAAACCGTCATTTTTCGGCTGAAACGTCGTTTACCAAACACCTCCATAACCCGATATGGTACAACCGGTAGTGGGAGAAAAAGGTGCATTTAGGAAGACAGCGTGTTGCGGAATAGAGACGTCGGCTTCTCATAAACGCACGCAATAGGAATGTGCAAATGAAGAAGAGATGGCAAGTTAAATACTGTCTGACGGTTCCAACTCCGGTCAAAATAGTTATATGTCGGTGGTGTATTTTTCACGAGTAAACGACGTTGACTGCTACTCCGTACTATTTTGTATCCATGTGTGTGATCTAAAACCGGCAGGGCCCATTGACTCGTACAATTATACATATTGTGAGTTGCAATCCTTCTTTTTTAACCTTCGTTAATACTTCTATACAACTTTGGCAATTGATACAATGCTTTTTTCAAAAATATTATTTAAATAAAATTTATTTACACAAATTTAATTAATATTTATTACAATGTAATGTCAAGATAATTTAATTTTGAAAATTAAACATAAGTTACTATGATTTCATTATCACTTTAGACAGTACTTACATTTTTTAAAACAATTTTTATTTTTATTTTTAAATTTTTTTTATCAGAATTTTTATTTTAATCATAAATAAATATGTAAGTACTGTCTAAAGTGATTAACTCTAAGGGGCTAATTACTTTTTTGCATTAAGTCTTGTCAGGATTAAGATGTATGTCTATATTAAGACGTTTTTCTGTATTAAGAGACACTGAGTGAACAAGCTGTTTACTTGTATGTTGAAAGTGTAGTCTGGATTATGCCAGTTTACTGATTTACCCTTCTGTTCGTGATAAGTGTTGAACCAGTATTATCTGTTTACTTTTGTTATTCTGAATGACATTCCGAGTGCATAAAATATATTATATTATGATAAGTCAGAGCAAATAAGTCTACAAAATACGACAGTGAAATTCAAGAGTATTACGCCAACATATTAAATTTAAGCTTTTCGTACTAATCTATTAGCAATTTCATCTTTTAAATTTGTTATATACTTTATGCTTTGTGTGCTTCAATGTGTTGCATGTATTTCTTCTTCACTTTCTGAAGTGTCTACTTCTCCTTTAATGTTGAATATTGCCCCCATTATCCCATTCCTCGAATAGCTCATCTTAAATGTTGCGCTTTCTTATAAAATTATGAATAGCAAAAAAAAGCAATCACCGCGTTTCTTTGAATCGCACCAGTGTGTTCCATACCTAAAAAAATGTCATTAAATGAAGAATAACATAACTGACCTTTTCACATTTATAAAACTATGCAAGAAAAACATGCTAAAATGCAGAAATCTGCTCAAAGTTCTTTGGCAAAATCAGAAAAGTTCTACATCAAAAATACAGAAAATGCACAAACATGTGTGAAAGAAAAAAAACATGCAGGAACTAAACTACCAAGAAAACAGAAAAAGTGATACAAGTATGCAGCAAAATGAAGCCAAAAAGAGCAAGAAAATCTGCCTAAATCCTTGCAGAAACATGCTGGAAAAAACTACCAAAATAAGAGACAAATGTGTACACTTTCGTTGAAGAATCGTGCCAAAAAATGCAGAAAAACAGCCCAAGTTTGCCGGAGCGTCCCCTGAAAAACAGCCCAAGTTTGCCGGAGCGTCCCCTGCTGCCGATAGTTGGAATTGTTTTTCCAGAATTCATCCGACGACCTATCAGAATTTCGCCGCCATAGGAGTTTTCTACCGCCACCAATAGATTGATCTTGATTATGCAAAGGAACTAGCTGGGGGCAATTAATTAGGTTAATTAATTAATTAAATTAGAGGTATAAATAAAATGATTAATATAATCCTATTTAAGGACAACCAAATATATGATCTTTTTTTAATAAGAATGCTTGTCCCCATGTTAAAACATACGGATTACAAGGTAGTCGTTGATGAAATAGCAAAGGAGAAAGTTTCACCCAGCTTCTATTGCTACGAGTCAACCCCTCCTCTCCGTTCAGGCGGCAATTCATCCTCTTTGATCAGACATGATGCAAGGGTTGTTTCATCAACCATCTAGTGACGCCAATGACGATATGGTGACATCAACTCTCAAAGATTCTTGGTAAGGGTATGACTCAACTGGACTGTGCTTCTTTTCTGCTTGTGTTTACTTAGTTCTATGGCAGTTCTTTCTCAAGCACTGACACTTCGGAGTGTTTTATCTCTCTCGATGTGGGGAGTTGTTTACTTGTTTTAGTGTTCAAGTCAACTTCGTCTGGTCAGGGGTTTTTGGTTGTCTTCTTATGTGGTGCATAGACATTGGTAGAGCTAGTTCTCCTCCACTTCCTCTGTGCCAAGAAGCGTTTTGTGGAAAGACTTTATTTCAATTTTATTTTTTTTACTAATACTTGTTTTTATTTTAGTTTGAGTAGGTTTGGGTTGGATATTTGAATTTTTGGAGTATGTTTGATAGGCATTGTTTTGGTTCTGATTGTTTTAGGCTTCAAATTCCTCATTTTGTATTTAGCGAATCAGATTGTTGTGTATGAGATGGATAATTCTATGTCTATTCCTAGGATTGATAATCGGATCTCGCTTTATATAATTTTGTCAATCAACTACGCACTTCCTTTCGAAAAAATTCCAGGGGAAAATAATTAAAATACTCCAAACTTTGAAGAGGTGTGAGGTAGGCATCCCAAACTTGCATATGTAATTTAAATACCCTAAATTTATATAAGTAGTTATTTTAGCACATTAGTCATGTATTATTTTTTCTTAAATGTCAATTTTTTGTGTTAGTTTCATAATTGAATATATTTTAGCATTCTAAACTTCCATTGTAAAATAAATAGTATTAACCCCCACTCTATATAATTGCAAAGTATGAGGTGTTTATCTCACATCCCTTAATAGTTTTGGGGTATTTTAATTATTTTTCCCAAAATTCAACTATACTTTGAATAGAGGCCGGCTGCCGGCATATAGAAAGTTGGAAGTTGGAACTTGGAATATAATACAACGTAGTAGGTAGTCACATGTATGGATATGTATGTTAATAAATACCATAATTAGTTGGCTTTGGGGTGACTAATTATATAGCATGTCGACGTCGCCGGTGTGTTCTGGGCCTGACAGAGAGCGGGAGATGTCTGTGATCGTTTCGGCTCTGACCGACGTCGTCACCGGCGGCACTGCTCAATATCATCACCCTCCGGCTACAACCCCGCAGCGGTTTTGGGATGCCGGGGTGGAAACGCAATCTGCACCTTCATCCTCTAATTCGCCGGGATATTCAGGTCGGCATTATACTCCTCCACCGCTTAACACTTCTCATCCATATTATATATATAATATTCGAAAAGATATTTCCATTTACACTCTAAATTAAACTTACAGAATGATAAAACAATTTAGATTTTATAATTAGAGTACGTTTTCTGAAAAAATGTATTGGTAAATGAAAGCCAAATCAATTGAAAGTGTACTTGATTTTAATTCATTTGAAGTTAAACTGTTAAAGAGTTGGCACATTCACGTGTACTTTAATGAACTTTGTCTTGTTTAATTAACTACATGCATCTTGTTACAATGAAAATCCAATTTTGAAAAGCGGAAAAACAGAATCATCAAACGGGTTCTAATCATCATTCGAGGTCCAAATGTACTTCGAATATCGGAGTAAAAATTAATTTAGAAATATTATTTAATTTCTGGCGCTCTAGCCTCTAGCTAGCTATACCTTCTCACTACGGCATTGATATATGAACAGGAGGGGAATGCAGGGTGATAAGATCAATGGGCATGGCAGCAACAAGTGAAGCTGCGTCCTTTGTATACAGCTGCGGCAGTAATCAGAGCACAGAAGGTGGGGATAGTGATATTATTGAGACATCAAGAAGCTACAGAGGAGTGAGACAAAGGCCGTGGGGGAAATGGGCTGCCGAAATCAGAGATCCCTACAGAGCCGCCAGAGTGTGGCTCGGCACCTTCGACACCGCCGAGGACGCCGCCCAAGCCTATGACCAAGCTGCCCTCACGTTCCGAGGAAGCAAAGCCAAACTCAATTTCCCCGAGAACGTCGTCAGCCTTTTACCACCGCCTACAAGGGAACACTAAAAATGAAACTTCTCTAAATAAAACTAAAAATGATAAAGTTCAAAATAGAACTATCATTGTTTTATTTTTAATCAACTCATTCCTTAAATAAGATTAAATAATTCCAATTTGGGGAATAAATCATACTTAATCGTAATTTTGCACTTTTGAATGTGTTTTGATCTTATATTGAGCAATGAGGAAAAAGGGTCAAATAAGTTCTTCTACTTTTTCAAAACAATCACATAGACCCTTGTACAAAAATAAGCATCATATAGATATACTTACTCCCTAAAAGATCTTTATTTATCATGGATCATGGATGTACCAGCTCGTTGGTGGCATTTTTTTGTTCTCTTTTTCTTTATCTTTCATATATACGTAGTAGTACATACTAGGGATGGTTCGGTACGGTATACCGAATATTTTATCTCATACCTTTACCATACCGTAAATTTTCGGTATGCAAAAATACATACCGTTTCCATACCAAAAATTTCGGTATACCTTGTTTCGGTATACCGAAATTTCGGTACGGTAAGGTACAGTATCGGTAAATTATCATGATTAATATAACAAAATATTATATGTCAAATAAAATATTGAAATTCAGTTTTGATAGTGATATACTACAATCATTAATGAAATTAATTATAAAATACTAATGATAACCTATTGATGTTCTATTCAACTTTGAACAAAAAATATTATAATTATGTTTAGATATTTCAACACTTGGTACATGAAGATAACAAAACATTATACTAAAAATTAAAAATTCAAACAACATAAATATAATTAAAATAAAATTGATCTCCAACAAAAAGTATAAATGATTCAAGAAAGATGGATATAAAGTCATTTATCCTTGAATTAGTGTTGTGTTTCTAGTTATTTTTATAATTTTAAATAAGTTATTGGCTTGGAATTCGGTATGACGGTATAGCGCGCGGTATACCGTTTATTTCTAAAATATATACCGATACCATACTGAAGTAATTCGGTACGGTATCATACCAAACCAAAAGTGTCGGTATACCAAACATTTCGGTAAATTCGGTATTTTTCGATATGGTAAGTCCGGTATACCGAAATTTCGTTATTTCCCCCCACCCCTAGTACATACTCCATCTCAATTCTCTTTCCTTTTCTATTTTACAATCGTACGTATTCTTTTAATTTTTCTTATCGTAAACTTTCATATACTAGTCAATCGACCCGTGCGTTGCACGGATAAACAAAGAACTTTTTTAATGTATAATCAAGTTTAATAAATAGAAAACGTTTGAATGAAATAAATCATAATCAATACATGTACTTAGAGATAAAGATACGTGCAATGTTTATTTGTTAAAAAACCGTTAATATTAATACTGAAAAAACGGTGAATGAAAATATTACCAAACATTTTTAACCATTTAACCCAATAATAAATACCCATTCAATGTAATACATGCATATCGAATATCAATCCTTTCTACCTTATACAGATTAACCGCTCGGAATGAGCGTATATTTGCCACTAAAGATTTTTCTGAATGTTCTTTCCCTTCGTAATACTTCTCTCAAAGTTAAAGTTTCGCAAATGATCAACTCTATGACCTTTACACTAATAAGTTACTTCACACCACTTTTAGAAGACATCAAAACAAATAGAAGAATGGGTGAAAAGGGGAACCGTTCAACAAATTGAACACCATAGTTCATTGAACATTAATGAAAAGGTTTTTTTTGAATCAATAAAAAGGTTAGAAATTGTAGCAGCTAAAATAGGCGATACTTTATGAGGTATTAAAATTTATTAATGCTCATATATGTGAGATTAATCATGTATGTAAATTAAAACTACATTAATATTATTCTTTTTGTACCTAATTACTTCTTATACTGTTTTACTTAATATCTATATTTTAATTATTTTTTATACCAATTAACATCAATGAAATTGGATGTAGTTACCGTAGACACCATTTTAGGTATTTTATCTTATACTACCTCCGTCCCAAAAGGATTGCTATATATTGATTTTTTTGTCAATGATGAAAACATGCTAACTCATTTAACTCATTCAATTGATTGGATTATCACAAAGCGGGGTCCTTGTTCTTTTTGGGTACTATCTTTGCAGTGATTTCAATTTGAATCGGTAGTTTATACGGAGTATATCTTACCTTATACGATAGTTTATACATACATAAATTAACAAATTTGATGCAGATATTTTTAGAAACAAATTTAATGACCACTATTAGATGTAATTTTAGCATCATTGAGAATTTTTCTTACCGTGTACGTACTACTCCCTCCGTAACAAAAAATATCTTCCCACTTTTCTTTTTCGTCTGTAACAAAAAAATCTTCTCATTTCTCAATCTTTCCATCATACTTTCAATAATTTTAAAATAATACACTATTACAATATTTTTTTTGGATTTATTCTTCATACCACCACATTATTCCACTATTTTCCCATCATACCCTCAATAATTCATATTCTCTTTCACTATTCTTAATCTACCTACTTTTGAAGTGGAAAGATTTTAAAGTTACGGAGGGAGTAATTTATTTAGAAATAAAATATTAACATTTATAAAATAATTCTGCCCTGTAAATCTGTAATACACACGTTTTTTTTGGGACGACATGTTTTGTTATTACTAATTATCATTTTTATACAAAATTATTTAGACAATAATTTTATTATTATATTTGTATCATATTTATACATTTTATATTTTATGAAAATATTTTTAATAGAAATTGAATATTTTACACCCAAAAATGATTATGTATAAAAAAATATAACTTTCAAATGATTTCGTATTAACACATACTCACCACAACTTTTACTTTTCGACCACTTCATTAATAAATGTTCCAAGTCAAACTAAGACACATAAAATGAGACGGAGGTAGTATATTTTATTTACCATATTTATCCATAAATTTAAGAAGCTTAAATTTCTATTTTCACCGTACGAAGCTTAACTTTCCAAAAAAAAAATTAAAAGGAAAACTCAATTAATGTGCAACATATTATATTTTATTTATCATATTTATATACTTTTTCTCAATAAAGTTTACGGAACTTAAATTTCTTTTACCTTACGAAGCTTAACTTTCCAAGGAAAGCTTAAAGGAAAACTTGATTAATCATACGTTACAGGAGCATTAGTTATATATGTTATGAACATATGGGTTTGTAATTAATACTTAAGCATTTAATTAATACTTCTCCAACAAAATTTCACTTCTTTGGGCGGCAAAATATGTTTCTACCTGAAATCCCACCTTGTTTATGTTTTTATATATATATATATATATACACATATATATATATACACACACACACACATATATATATATATATATATATACATATATATATATATATATAAAGATAAAGATACGTATACTATACAGTATTCCGTATCAATTTTCTTTCCATTCTATTTTGGGGGAAAGTTCCCGAAATAGGACTGAAACAGTTTGGAAATTCCAAAATAGGACTGTCATGTTTTTTATTCCCAAAATAGGAGTAATTATTGCCAAGTTTGGAAAATATTGTCATGTTTGAAGTCTGGTACTGCCAAAATATGACAGTAATTAGTCCTATTTTAGGAATAAAAACATGGAAGTCCTATTTTGGAATTTTCAAACCTTTTTAGTCCTATTTTGGGTAATATCTCTAATTTTTTCTGTTTTGCTTCACAAATAAAAATGGTTGCAGCTCCACAATTTTCTTTCCTTTTCTTTTCATTTTCAAATCTCTGCCACAAAAAAAAATGTTTCAGATAAGAGAAAAAATTGTATAATTTTATACAGATTTTCAATAAGGTTAAGTAAAGTAAGATTATAGAAAAAAAAGTCGACAGAAAAATATAATTTTATAAACAATAGATGTTTGGTCACACACAAAATGTTTCAGGCGTAATTTTAAATTGTATATTTTTATAAACGTTTTCAAAATTTTGAAATTGTGTACAAAATGCATAATTTTTACCGTTTCAAAATATTGTTAAAATATTTTAATACACATTTTACCGTGTAATGTTTACCGTATTTTTATACACATTTACAAAAATTTGAAATTGTGTACAAAATGCGTAAATTTTACCGTGTTAAAATATGATAGTCAAACATAACAATGATTCTTGAATTCATATTCTTAAAAATCTATCAGATGAAAATACTCAATTCAAAATATTTAAATTCGATTGAATGAGAGGAAGATTTATTTGATAAAATGTTGGGTGTGTTTCGGAAAATAAAGAAATTAATTAAAATAAATTAATTAATTAAAATGACGAAAGAAAAACAAGAAAAGAGATGGAGCAGAATTTGTCAAAGCTCGTGCTACGCACGATGTCCTTAAAACGTATTTGTTGCCTCCCACGGTGCTAGGAGCGTTGCAACAATAGTTTCCCAGGATACGATGACAACGAACTAGTGTTTGAGCACACAAACAAAAGTTCCAGCGAACGAGAACAAAGACTGAACACAAAAGGAACTTTTCGGAATGCTAGCAGTGTGTTTTTGAGGTGCAAAACGTGTATGAATTCGTGTAAGAACGTGTGTTGTTGCAAACCACCTGCCAGCCATTATATAGGAGGATTTGTTGTATGAAAATAGTGAATTAATGGACCTGAACGTTGGACATCAATGACCAGTCCGTTGGGCATTGAATCGTCCATGAACTGTCCATTTAACGCTGCATTAAAAGATAAGAACGTTGGGCATTAATTGTTGTAACGTTTCAGAAGTGCGAGAGAAGACCTCCATCAGAAGTGCTGGGAAAAAATTAAACGTTTCGGGAAGAAAACAAAAATTAATCGTATCTCTTGAGAGATAGATTTTTGGACGACATTCGTGTCCGCAGGTCGCCCGCGCACGCAAGTCGCGGTTTTTCTTCTCCGATTTCGGGATTTGATTTGCACCCCCCCCCTGCGCGCGTGGAGAGAGCCTTTACCCTTAAGAATCTTAACTCCATAAGGGGGGAGTCCCTTTATAAAGGGTAGCAAATCCCTTGGGTTTTCCGGTGTGGGAAATTAACACTAGAAACCCATCCTTTTTCCCCAGTTTTTCCCTTCTAACGGG